GTAAGTGGGCCAGTCAGGATCCTCCCTTGTACCCACCAAGTTAACACAAGCCTGCCCTGTAATGGCCTATCCTGATCCTCTTCTCTGCCGGGTCTGCCAGATCACCTACCTTTGTCGCTTACCCACGCAGCTGTAGGAACCTGGGTCTTCAGGCTTTTCTGAGGATCACAATTCTGATCCTTTGGCTCATTTAAAAAAGAGATCCACCGACCAGCCCACCATCCCTCAGGTCCCCACCGTGCACTACAGCGAGGATCTAGTGCATCAGAGGGCCTATTAAAACCCAGGTGGCTCCCCTCCCCGGCCCCCCGCCCCCTGCTGCAGAGTTCCTGATTCAGTGAGTTGAGAACTTGCATGTCTATCAAACTGCAGGTGCTGCCGCTGCTGGGCGGGGACAACACATTGAGAACCACTAGTCTAGTCTTTAGGGGCAGGGGCTCTGGGGCTGGGCTGCTGGGGTCCCCGCTCTGCTGCCTTCTAGCTGTGCCGCTCTGGGCCACCGTCGCTTCTTCTGTAAAACCGGGGTAATCATAGTCACGACCTCATAGGTAACCCTGGGGGTTGAATGGGTTCACACATGTACACTATGAGCCTGGCGCATAGCAAGTGCTCAATAAAATTTGCTATTATCAGTATAGCGACAGAAGCACCATTTCCAGGTTTCAGTCTGGGCTTACACTGGCTGTGTGACTTTGAGGACATGGTCCCACCTCAGTTTTCCCATCAGTGCTAAGAGAGTAATGGTAACTCACTTTACATTCCACACGGGATGGTCTGAGGACCAAATGGAATCTGTGTGTGTCCACTCTGTAAATGGTAAGCACTGTGCAAACACTTGCGGGCTAGATGTGGTGGGAAGGTAAATGAGGGAGGTAAGAGCGTGGGCCTCCGGGGAGCAGGGAAGTGTCCTGAGGACCCCTTGCCTGAGGGCTGCACCTTACTCAGTGAGTCCCAGGGTCTGAGGATTTCACTTGAGGGTCAGCGCTGGTGCCTGGGCCTTGCCCAGCTCCCTCCCACCGATCTGCCATGGAGTGGCGGCCTAATGTGAGACCCCCTCCAGCCTGCAGCCTTGGCTGGCCCCCTCTCCAGACCCCGGAACCCCCAGTTCACAGGGTTGTGAGGAAGACCCAGCAAGAGAAAGGGTGGTGTGCTGTCCAGAGCCCACGCTGGGCAGGCCCTTGGGGAACACTCCTCCTCTGGCAGAAGCCCTCTCCGGGCCTCCCGGGCTGCTTCCAACATCTTGCCTCTGGGAGCTATCAACTCTGGAAGTGAGAGCCTTGCAGCCCTAAGAGGTTTCAGGGCAATTTTATTCTCCAGGAGAGAGGTTGAACAGCCCCTCCTTCTCCGGGAGGGGAGGGGGGAACCAGAGGCCTGTTTAATTTAATTTAACGCACCGTGGCTTGCCAGGTTGCCCCTGGTAACAGCCTCAGCTGCTGCTTTAGTTACAACCAGAAGGATTTTTAAAGAGACAGCCCATTTTCGGGCCAGGATAGCCCAGCAGAGTGCATGGCGTCCACCAGATTTCATCACGGGGATAGAGGATTAAAGCTCAAGCCAGGTGAGACCTCAGACTAGATCTGTTTGGGCCATTAACTCCACTCCAAATCTGCAACCCCATAAGCCCTCCTGAAAACGTCACTCTTCAGCAGAATCTGAGGAGGGACTACATTTGGGATTTGTCATTGCGATGTCACTCAGCTAGCTACTTTTCTGAAAATCTGTTTTAGCCTTCAAGTTGAAGGGAACCAGGAGAGAGGAGTTACCCCTGCAATTCAGGCATACCGCCACCAGGTGGTGGTATTGCCTGCATAGTGCAAACCACAGCCAGGCTCTTGAATTACTCAAGGATACCAACGGGTTTTAAGCCCCGATACTAACTAGCGTGTTACTGGGTAAATTGCTTCACCTCTGTGGTCTCAGTATCCTCAGAGAAAGAATGCGAGTGATCAAGGAAACAGTGCTGAGGACAATGCTTGGAGCTAGGATTATGAAGGCAAAAATTTAAGTGTCACCTCTGTCTGGTACTAGCTGCGATCTGGGCACATAACTTACTTTCTTGTGGCTTGAATGCCAAACAAGAGGAACAGGGAGAGCCCTGAGGATACCATGTAACTCTCCAACACTGGGGGTCTGTGGAGGGGAGAAAGGTGCTTGGGACCCCACAGGGGATCTGAGGCCCTAATAGCACAGTGGGCGGGTGGGGGCGGGGGTGCGGTGGAGAGCAGGGTGAGCCAGGACCCCTCTGGACTCCAGAGAGGTTGTTGCCCCAGAGGGAACTGGAATAAGTCCCCTGGACAGAGCAGCCTAACCCGCTCAGCTCTAACCCAAGCCAGGAGAAAGGGGTCCAACATTTATGGAGCGCATACTCTGGGCTGGGCACTGCCCCACAATGCCTGCGAGCTCTATATTATTATCCACCTTTGCAGATAAGGACACAGCCTCCCAGAGGTAACTCACGCATCTGGGGTCGCCCGCCTCATAGGGCCAGGCCTGTCGGCCACCTGAGCCTCTGCTCTTGCTCGTGGTCATAGCTTCTTGTCAGAAGCCTGAATGAGGCAGCAGGTTCCGTTTCTCCCTACCAGGACTCAGTTTGGCCAACCTCAAAGTGGGCATGGGGCCAGAGGTCATGAGATCATACCTCTAGACAGTCAGAAAGCCTGAGGCACTTAAGCTTCACTCTGTCACACGATCACACACTGACATCACGTCCCGGTTTTTAGCCAGCATGGCCCCCAAGAGTGGCCCCATGACTCTGAGTCCCCCTTCCTATGTCCCAGGTGCCATGTTGGTAGAACAGGTAAGGTTATCCACCAACCCATCCTAGTCTTTTGCTTTGACAAATGTTCTCCACTGAGCCCTCGAGGATGTCCTCCAACCCTTGGCAACTGCCGCCCTCCCCTCCGGACAGCCCTGTCCCCAGCTAAAGCCCCATACACGTGTTCCCACCTAAGTGACAGGAGGACTCTCCAAGGTGGTGTGAATGTAAAAACACACTGGATCTGGGCACCGCCTTTTCCAAGGCTCCCCACTGCCCTGCACATGAACCCCAGGACCTGAGCCAGGCCCTCGGGGGCGCCTCCTGATGTGCCCTTGCTGGCTCATCCTCCCACCCCACAACACACCACGCTCCCTCATCTCCGACTGAGCTTTGGCACACGATGTCTCTCCATCTGATGCCTTCTCTCATGGTGTCCACCTGGGTGGTTCCTACTTGTCCTGGAGAGGCTTGTGCCAGCAAGTCCTCCTCTAGAAGCTCTGTGGGCACTCCTGTAACACGCAGGATGCTTCCTCCCATAACCCGTAGCATTCCTTCCACTCGCACTGTGATATGATCTGGCTTTCGCACCAGACTGGGAGCTCCTAAAGGTGGGACCTGCCTTTCCTCTCCTATCCCCATTGTGCCCAGCCTGAGCCAAACAGAGAAGATACTTGGTGAATAGTGGCTAAGAAATGTGATTAGCAGGGCCTCCTCTGGGGGATCTGGCTTGCACCCTGGGTCAAGACCCTGCCTCGATGGGCAGTCACACCTCTCCGTGGGATCGGACTCACAGGACCCCCTTTCTCTCTTCTCCCTCCAAGCTCATCCACAGCCTCCTCAGAACAGCCACATCATAACTTAGTGACATTTCCCCCACATACACCCCACTCACACACACCCTGCCCCAAGCTCACCAGTCACGCCACACGTCTCCACACTGAGCCCTCCATCTGGAATGCTCTTGACCCCCAGCCCACCCTCTGAAATACCACTGCTATTCAAGACTCACCTGACAGCCCATCCTCTGCAAGGCCTTCTCAGAGTCTGTTGGCTGGGAGTGGCCTCCGCATCCTAGTGCATCTGTCCACATCACTCTCATGGCCTTGTTTGGACTTTGCCTCATACGAATGTTATAGGCAAGCTGGTGTGGTAAGGGAAGCATGGGCTTTGGAGCCTAACAAAGGGAGCTCGAGTTCCACCTCTGAAACTTATATGCTGTGTGACCTTGGGCAAGTCATTTTACCTCACTGAGCCTCAATATGTTCATCTGTAAAAAGCAGATGAAACCTACCCAATAAGTTGTGGAGAGATTGAGAGGGTGGGTGTCAGGATCCTGGCACATGGTGGTCACCCAGTCAAGCTCTATTATTTATGCCTGGACCTGTTTTCCTAGCTAGGTTGTGAACCCATTTGGGCCAGGGTGCCGGTCCAATTCGGTGCCTCGTCCCTAAGCACTCAGCACAGGGCCTCACACCACAGATGCCCAGGAATGCTGGCTGGACTGAATGCATTCACTCGGTTGCTGGGAGTCGGGGGGGTTGATGGGGGTCCTGAGCTGAGGAGGCCATGGTGGGTGGGGGGTGGTGAGTGCCGAATCCAGCCTGGAGATCCACGCCAGGAGACAAATGTGGAGGGAGGGAGCAGAGCCCGAAGCAGAGCTGCTGATATGCACTAGGGGTTTTATTGGTTTTCATTAAAATTCCTTCCTGAGGCAGCAGCAGCTACTCCCATAAATAACAGCATAAATATTTTATCTGGTGCCCAAGTTGGTCTAAATGCCTGGTGAGGTTGGCAAGAATAACAGTGGGAAAACCGTTCAGGGGGGTCCTGGGCTGCAGCTGAACTCCATTAACAAGCCCGAAAGGGCTTTCTCAGGAAGGAGGAAGCTGAAGGGTGGCGCCAAAGGAGAGAAACGAGTGGACAGTGGGGGAGAGAGAAGGTGACCAGTGGCTGGTGGGCCCTGGAATGGGGGGGATCCAGAGCACAGGTCGGGGAGCCAGGGGGAGGGGAGCTTAGTTTGGAAAGCAAGATGGAGGGAAGAAATGTATTCCACTCCTGCTCCGTGATGGGCACCTTACTTAGGACATTCACACAGGTTGTCTCATCAAACCTTGTGCAGTCAGAGAAATGAGGTGATTCACCCAAGGTTACTCAGCCACCAGTGGCAGATCCAGGACCATGATTAGAGGTGTACTTGCTGCTTCTCAGGGTTCAGGGCAAGTGCCATTCTCTGCTTTCCTAGATCCCAGTGGAGGAGAAAAGGGGCTGGTACTTCACCATGGCAACGCTCTTCATCAGGTCAGCCTGGGGAGCCCGGGACTGGACAGTGGGGAGGGTGAGGTGTGGCCTGGGACCCGGGGAAGAGGTGGCTGAGTCCATTTCCGTGGTGAGGGCTCCCCAAGTTCTCCTCCATGCCACTGGCCTAGGGAGTACTCGCAGCACCCTAGGGACAGCTGGGAGGGGGTGCCAGCTACCCACATCCCCTTCTTGGCCACAGACTAGATGGCATCTTCCTGGAGATGGGCAGCGAGGAGCAGAAGAGGCTGCCCGCCTTCAACCGCACGCTGGCCCTGCTCCGGCAAGTGCTCAAGTCCTCAGACCCCCACCACCAAGGTAGGGCCACCTGGCTCCCCCTTTACCTGTCACTAGCCCTGCCTGTCACTGTCATTGTCCCCACCTCTAGCATCGTCTTCCTTTTTGGGAGATCCTGTTGCTCTCTCTCTCACCCTCTGTCCCATATACTCATTCGTTTATCTCACAGAACTCATGCACCTTGCACCTTGCTCAGTGATTTCATGCCACGGACCCTCCCTTCGTCTTCCTGGGGGCTAACACCGTGCGTGGAGCTGGCCCCCTCCCTCTCTCCACCCCGCTGCTTCCTAGACACCCCTCTCCCACACTTCACCTCCAGCTCTGGCCTGGTGCTACCTCGGGATGCTGCTAGAGAGGAAGGACACCTTCTCCACCACCCCCATGGGTGTCCACGACTGTGGGTACTCGGGAACCGACCCCCTGGACTGCTTTGGCAAGGTACGTCCCCTGGCCACACCCACTCTCCAAACTGGGATGGAGCGTGACACCCCAGCCTTCTCTCCTGGAACCCGCTGCTTCTCTGGGTGGCATCCCACCTCCATCCCCCATCGTGTGCCCCCCCCCCCCCAGGAAGTGCCCTGGCTTTCCCTCCTCTCTTCATTCAAAACAATGGTGATGTTTGTCATTGTTCCTTTTTGCTTAAGAATCGGACCCTTCCCACGCCCAGTCCCGGAGCCCGTCTCTCCAGCCTTGTCTTCTAAGCTATTTGCCTTGTCTCAGATATACCCTCAGACTTCTCCCTTTCAGGCATGGTTCTCACTGTCCTTCCCCAACCCCCAGTGACATAGTAGAAAGAAGATGGGCTTAGCTGGGGTCTTGTGCCAGCTCTGCCCATGGGCCATGTGACCCTAAGCAAGTCACTTCCATCCCTGAGCCTCATTATGTGTTAATTATGTCATCTGTCTACCTTCTAGGTCATTGAGAGATTCAAAGAAGGTAGTGGTTGAAACTGTTCACTGTAAACTGTAAAGTGCTGTTCAAGCCTTGTTCTTGGGCACCTCGTTTATGTGGTAGTTTCCACACTTAGCTCAGTTTTGAAGTCTTTCCCGGAGGCCAGGGACCCTGTGATATTCATTGACCTGTGCACTCAGCACGGTGCCCTGCATGGAGCACATCCCTAATGCTTGCTGGTGGATAGATTAATGAGCAAGTCCTTGATGAGAGATCTTAGAACAGAATAGAAATGATGGCTCATAAGGATTCTGAGAGTTGTGTCCAATTTAACAAACACACTGCCTTCACCCTTCCTTGAGAACCTAACCTGTGCCCGGCACAGAGATGAGTCCCTGCAGGAGTTCGCTATTCCAGAGGCAGCAACCCACACAGGACAGGCAGTGGTCAGTAACAGTATAGAGAGGAAGTACTGTGATCCCAACAGAAACACTGCACTGTGTACATATGGGGGAGGTAAAAGCTAATTCTGACCCTCCTTCCAACGGCCCTGGGAAACTGGGGGAGCATACCCTGGATGTGTCTAAGGAAGAGAGATTTGCCTGTGTATGGAGGGATTCACTGGACAGGACACATGAACATGGTGGGGAGCATGGGAGTCGGGCTCTTGGGAGTTGAGTGCCAGTGAGTTGTACGCTAACGTGTTAGGTTCCATGATATGGCCAAACTTACTGGCAGGTGGATTTCGGGAGTAAGAGCATGGCAGTGACATGGCTCTATCCAGAGATGGGAGACCTGCTGGTCAGGCAAATAACCAAATAGTTTGCTCTTACCCTTCTCCCTTCCCTAGGCTATTGAGATAGCCAAGGACCAGCCCCCCATCCTGAATCGCCTGGCCAAAATCTTCCACTTCCTAGGAAAGCAGGATATGGCCATTGGAACCTGCAACATGGCTCTAGATATCCTACGAGATCCGGAGCTCAACTGGCAGGCATACTGCACAAGGGCCAAGGTGAGTCAGCCTGCAGGCTCTGCCTCATCCTGCCATCAGGAATCAGAGAACAAGGGCCAGAGGCTAAGACTGTGTTGCCAGAGCCCAAAGGTCATAGGGCCTTCCTGGTGGAAAGGAGCTTAGGAGCCATCAAGACACAAGGTTTGTGTTCTATAAGGTTGTTGAGTGAAAGAATGAAGGAGACCCCCACCCACCGCAGACACCCCTCTACAATGACCTGTCAATGAGCTCTAGCCTCTACTTGGTTAGCACTCAATACAGGCTGACTGACCTGGGTTGAAATCTGGCCTCTCAACTGATTACTCTATCTAAAACCCCATTCCCCAAACTATAAGGTATGGATAATGACCTCTGCCTAGAATGCTTTTCTCCCTGATTGGCTTCCTTCCTCACTTCCTGGAGGTCTTGATGAAAAGGAAGCTTCTAGCACCATCTTACTGAAAATGTCAACCTCTCACCAACATTTTTTGTCCTCTTTCTTGGTTTACTTTTTCTTGTTAGTGCTTATTACTCCCCAACATACTATTTATTTATCATGCATATTGTCTTTCTCTCCCACACTAAAATATATGCTCCATGGGGGCAGGGAATTTTGTTTTGCTCTCTACTGGGGTGCCTAGAACAGTATTAGCACATAACAGGCTCTTGATGAATATCTGTTGAATGAATGAATGAATGAATGAATGAATGAATGAATGAACTGAGCACATACCATATGCTAGATCTTGGCTAGAATATGTTCTCTCAATCGTCATGGGAACTCTCCAAGGAAGATACCAGTGTACTAATTTTTCAGATGTGGAAAATAAGGCTCACAGAGGTTGAAAAACATCCCCAGCTCACATGCTAACAAGGGGAGAGGGGAGGGGCTGGAATTCCGCCAAGTCCAACTGGCTCCGAAGCCAGAGTTCCCGCCTCCCCCACCTTATGATGCTCTCTTAGAACTAGAGCCCACCGGGTTGGGTATAAAGCATTAATACCTTCAGCAACAATGACCCCTTTTACCTACTGCCTCCTTCTCATGCCTCCCCTTCGGAACCTGTAGATTTTTTTAATGCTCCAAGTATGGGGGAAAAGGAGGGGTGAGGATGAAGGCAAGAGTCTAGAATCATTTGTAATTTGATGCTTGTAAGTTGGGGCCACCTTCCATTCTTTCCAAATTGCTTATGTGGACTCTCACAAAATCTGTGCTGCCACCCTATCTAAAATAGCGCTGTCCCCCAATCCCCTCTAGCCCATCACCCTGTTTATTTTTTCATAGCCACTTGTCACCACTGCATGCCCAGTACCTAGCACTGGGCCTGGCATATGGTGGGTATCCAGTACCTGTTTGTTGAATGAATGAGGGGCTCTTTCCCCCTCATTGTACAGACAGGGAAAGAAACTAAGGCCCAGAAAGGGTGTCATGAGCATAGCTGGCACAGAACTAGGACCTAGGACTCTGGGTCCCAGTGTCAGTGGCCCTCTACTGCACCACAGAACTGCCCTGAGTTGCTGCTGAGAAAAAGACTGGCATCATTTAGGGTAGAAAGGAGGGCAGAGGTCCTTGCTTGGAGCCTCATCCCTGAGCTGACTCTCTACGGCAGATCCACCTCAGAGCCTACCTGCACGACCTGGAGCGAGCCAAGATGGGGCTCGGGGGCATGCCTGACAGGAACCACCTGTCCTGCGCCAAGGCCGATCTGGAGGAAGTGGTCAAGGTGTGCCCAAGCCTCAAGACCTACCTGGACATTGGCCAGGTAAGGCAGCCTCTTGGCTTGAGTAGCCAATGGCTTACTAAAAACCTGTTCACTCTCTACCAAGGCAGGCCTGGGCACTGAGGACACAGGGAGAAATACAGCTAGCCCCCATCCCTGTCTGATACCGTACCCACCTCCTACAGCCATGGTGAGGATTATATGAGAAAACGCACATACAGCATTTAGAACAGGGCCGTGCTCTTTCTAAAGCACTCAGGAAGTGAGGGCCATTACTCTTTATCCAGAAGTGCCTTCTAGGCACAAGGAATGATTACCAAGAGGTGACAATATCATAATTTTCCATACGTGAACACTGAGGCCCAGAGAGTGCCTCGCTCAAGCCGATACGGCCAAGAGTGGTGGGGCTGGAACTGGAATCGCTATTTCTTCTCCTTTTCCGGGGGCGGGAATTTGTGAAGCATCGTCGGAGGGAGGGTGGAATTTTTTTAAAAGCAAGTATGGGCGCCGAACGCCCAGGGAGAAAGGCTCACCCCGCCCTCCCCGGCCAGGTCTACTACTACATGGGTGTGGACGCCGTGCAGGAGCTGCTGGCGGTGGACGAGGCGGCGCTGAACCAGGCGCTGGTCTTCCTGGCCAAGGCCGGCGAGTCGGAGCTGGGCGCCACCCTGCCCGAGCTGCAGCTGCTGCGCGGCAAGTGCCTGCGCATCAAGGGCGAGGAGGCCAACGCGGCGGCCTGCTTCAAGCGCGCCGTGGAGCTGGACGACGCGGGCTCCAGCCACACCGAGGGCTTCGGCTGCCTGCTCGAGGCGCTGCTGGCGCAGTGGAGCCAGGCGCAGCTGAGCGACGCCGAGCTGGGCCGCGAGGTGGACGCGTGGCTGCGCCGCGCCCAGGGCAAGTACCCCGCGGCGCGCCTGCGCCAGGAGCTGCAGCGCGTGTGGCGCGGCCACACGGGCGAGGTGCTGGGCCTGGCCCGGGCCCTGGTGGCTCAGGGCCGGCCGGCGCTAGTGCGGCTGCTCTTCGAGACCATGGAGCAGGACGGCGACGTCGCAGGCGTGCCGCGGGGCCGCCGCGCCTTCTCCCTCTGAGGGGCGTCGAAGCCCCGCCCCGTCGAGGCCCCGCCCTGCCTACAGCTGATTGGGCGCTCAAAACGGGCCTGCCCTGCCATAGGCTGGCGGTTGGGCGGAGCCAATTAGATTCTCTTCCGGGAACTGGGACGGGGCGGTTGAGAGACGAGGGCAGTTTGGCCTGCCCGCGGAGCCACAAAGGCCCGGCTCGAGAGAGCCGCTGAGGTTGGGGCGGACGCGAGAGGCCACCGGGAGACTGCCATTTAAAGCACTGAATTGTGCAAATATGCAGAAAAAGTAAGATGGGTGCAAGATACAGAAGATGGTTGTCTCCATTCTGGCGGCTCTTCAGTCCCCGTGCGCAGTCCTCGAGGCCTGAGTTCCTGTCTTTGCATTGCCGTGAGCCACACTCTACCCTTCTAATAAAGCCGCCTCTCCGTAAATTGACTGGAGTGGGTCTCAGGTCCCGCAGCCAGAAAAGCCACGCCAGAGCAGAGGGCAAAGCTGCGCCGTGAGCAGGTAAGGGCAAGGCAATAGTCTACACCTGGCTGCTCGGGCCTTTTGCCTACCTGCCTAGCAGTCTCCAGCAGGCCTCATCTTTGGCCAGCTTGGTCTGAAAGGCCCCCAAACGCCCTGACATAAAGCCCATCCAGTAGAATCTTTGCTTGATTTCTCTGATCTTAGGAGAACCTAGGGTCCCCCACCCATCAGGGAGTGCTCCCTGCACCCAGTCGTGAACCTTCCACAAAAGCGTGAAGAAGGTCTTGGAATTTTACACGCTTGGACTCATAGTCATAGAGTCTTGGATGTGGAAGGAGTCTTTACTGTCAAAGACTTAGGCTCTGATTGCCAGTAAATCTTAAAATGGCCAAGCTGGATTCTTGTGGCCCTACCTACAAGAGCCACTTTAACCTAAAATTCCAGAAGAGGTCTTGCCAGACTCCGGGAATGTTGGTTGCTCATAACGGCAATGGCAGGACCCCCATAATGGTTTGTGATTTATTTTGCATTTTTCCCCTTTCTTTGGAGAGTTATACCCACTGCTTTGCCCTTATCCCTGATCCTCAAACTTTACCAGGGAAGGGCCAGCACCCCTGCATTGCTTCTCATGTCTCCAGTGACAGATGGAGAACAGACTGAAAAGTGCAGTCCTTAGAGATCATGCACTCCAATCCCCTGTGTAGATGAGAATCCTGAGACTCCTAGAAGGGAGGCGGCTTGCCCAAAGTCTCACCTCCTAGCCTCCCACCCCTGTACTTCAAACTTACTGTCAGCATTTTGCAGGTTTGGAAAAATACTAATAAAGTGATTAACACTAAAGCATTAAGTGTTTACATGTTAAGGGTTTAAGTGTCACCTGTCACATGGGGCACTCTGAGATCCATTAGGATAATGTTCTAACACCAACAGTGGAATCTGTGAAGTCTGGGCAGTGAGACCACGCGAAAGGCCCCAAATTCCACCTCATGGTTCACCATGGCTCACTGCTGTGGGTGGTGACCTCTCCCTCCCTTCCTCTTATCCCCACTGCAGGAGAGTCCAGCAGCTGACTCCAGAGCAAGCAGCACACCCAGCCCTTTCCACTCCTCCCCCACATCCTTCTCCCCCCACAACTGTGACCTGTGCCCTTCCCTAGGCCAGAAAACCAGCCCTTTCTTCTTCTCCCGCTTCCCCGAACAAACCGAATTCAAGGCAGTTTGCTGGCAAAATTGAGAAGCTGGTGAAGTTTGTCTGCGTCCCCAGGCTTCCCAGTTTGCGGCTTTTCCTTACTTTTCCTGTCTGCCAGGTTGTGTATTTCTCCCTTCATTGCCTGCTACTCCTGTTGAACCTTTCCAATAAACTTTCTTTCTGATAATCTCATCCAAAACTAACTGTATAAATAAGCAACATAAACACACTAGAGCTTGGAGTATCTGCACACTGGCCAAAAGACGAAAAGAGAAAGGAAACCCCATTTCCAGGACTGCCTCCTATGTGTAAGGCAATTCATACATGTAAGCTCACTAAATTCCTCACCAGCCCTGAGGGGTAGGCACTATAATCCTCACTTTATAGGTGAGGACATGGAGCCACTGAACAAGGTCACAGATAAATACGGGAAGGGCCAGGATTTGGACCAGACCTGCCCTGCTGTGTGCTGCCTCCTGGGACAAAGCCCTGCCTCGAAGATGTGTCATCTGTGGTCTAGAGTTAGGCCTGTGATCACCAACTCATCCCATCACTTTACCCCTGCTCCCTCCCCACCAGGTACTAGTCTCCCTGCCCAAATGGCCTTACCTCTGTGCCTTTGTATATCCTATTCCTCTGCTGGCTCTTTTTCCTGTAATTTCTACCCTAAGTGCTAGGCTCAAAGGTGCCTCCTCTAGGGAATCTTGTCAAGTCCTTCCAACTGTCATTAAGCACTCTTTTATGCATGGATTGCTCTCAGGGCATTGTGCCCCACTGCATTACATTTATTCCCCTCTCCCTGGGTCATAAGTATCCCAACATGAGTGTTGCCCCCACTCAACTCTGGAATCTTTACAGCAGGAATCACATCTGATTCAGCCCCTGGCCCTGCACTGAGCTTGGCACACAGGATAGGCTCAGGTTTGTTGTTGAACTGAGGAAACTCACAGCAGTGACGTGCTGCCTCAGTCCCAAACAGGTGACTCCGTCACCACCAGGGCCACAGGGCTGAGGTCAGGGTCAGGTCTGTAGCCCAAAGACCTTGGAGGCCTAGAGCTCAACCAGAAAGCATCGGCTTTCTCTCCACCTCCTTGCCACCTTCTGCCAGTTCCCCAATTCTGCGATTGGGAAACCAAGGCAAGAGAGCAGGACTTGGGCACGGTCGAGCAGCAAACTGATGACAGATACACACTCGTACCCCACCTCCAGACTCGTAGGCCAGTGCTCTCTGCCCTTTCAGCGCTGCCTCCTCTGCCAAGGTTACTTCGGTAAGTCCAGGAAGACTACAGGCTTTCCATTCATTCACTCAGCAAATACTTATCAGGCACTGGCCAAATGCCAAGCATAGTGCCAAGCTCTGGGGCTACAGTGGAGACCAAAATAGGCCCTTGCCTTCAGGGAGTTCACAGTGTAGATCAGGCAGAGCAGGTGATGCAGGGCTTTGTGGGCCACACTGGGGACTTTGGAAGACCAATGGAAAGCTATCAAAGATTTTAGCCAGCAGGGCTGGCTATTCCTCCCCCTCTACACCAGCCACACTATCCTGCGTTAGTGGCCTTTCCCCACACTCTCCCCGGCCCTTGACTTCCCTGTTCCTTGGCTCCCCCTGTTCAGCAAGTCACTGCTAAGGCCAGGTGTGGAAGCCCCCCAGGAGGAGGCTAGCGGGTGGGTGATCTTGATTTATTTACAGCTTTGAGCCCTGCAGAATATCTCTGCTAGGTGGCTGGGAGGACAACTGTCTGTCATATCGCCGAAGCAGCAGGAGCTCCTTAGGGGAGCATTGCAGAGTAAAAGCCTTAATGACCCCATCATCAGAGTAATGAAGACGAATCCCACCTCATGCTGCCTGCCCACTCCTTCCTCTGGGTCTAGCAGCCAACATCAGGCAGCTAGAAACTCCCACTTAGCCAGCGTGAGCAAAGCACATTAAAGATTGTGAAAATTACTAGAACTCATACAGCAATTCAGTAATGTGGCAGGATACAAAATCAATGCACAGAAATCAGTTGCTTTCTTATACACTAACAACGCAACTGTAGAAAGAGAAATTAGAGAAATGATTCCATTTACAATAGCACCAAAAACCATAAGATACCTCAGAATAAACCTAACCAAAGAGGTGAAGGATCTATACTCTAGGAACTATAGAACACTCATGAAAGAAATTGAAGAAGATACAAAAAGATGGAAAAATATTCCATGCTCATGGATCAGAAGAATAAACATTGTTAAAATGTCTGTGCTACCCAGAGCAATCTACACCTTCAATGCCATCCCGATCAAAATTCCAATGACATTTTTCAAAGTGCTGGAACAAACAATCCTAAAATTTGTATGGAATCAGAAAAGACCCCGAATCGCCAAGGAAATGTTGAAAAAGAAAAAGCTGGGGAAATCACGTTGCCTGATTCCAAGCTATATTACAAAGCAGTGATCACCAAGACAGCATGGTACTGGCACAAAAACAGACATATAGACAAACGGAACAGAATAGAGAACCCAGATATGGACCCTCAACTCTATGGTCAAATAATCTTTGACAAAGCAGGAAAAAACATGCAATGGAAAAAAGACAGTCTCTTCAATAAATGGTGCTGGGAAAATTGGACAGCCACATGCAAAAGAATGAAACTCGACCATTCTCTAACACCATTCACAAAGATAAACTCAAAGTGGATGAAAGACCTCAATGTGAGGCAGGAATCCATCAAAATCCTAGAGGAGAACATAGGCAGTAACCTCTTTGACATCGGCCACAGCAACTTCTTTCAAGATACATCTCCAAAAGCTAGTGGAACAAAAGCAAAAATGAACTTTTGGGACTTCATCAAGATAAAAAGCTGCACAGCAAAGGAAACAGTCAACAAAACAAAGAGGCAACCCACAGAATGAGAGAAGATATTTGCAAATGACACCACAGATAAAGGGCTGGTATCCAAGATCTATAAAGAACTTCTCAAACTCAACACCCAAAAAACAAATAATCAAGCCAAAAAGTGGGCAGAAGATATGAAAAGACACTTCTCTGAAGAAGACATACAAATGGCTAACAGACACATGAAAAAATGTTCATCATCATTAGCCATCAGGGAAATTCAAATCAAAACCACATTGAGATACCACCTTACACCAGTTAGAATGGCAAAAATGGACAGGGAAAGATACAACAAATGTTGGAGAGGTTGTGGAGAAAGGGGAACCCTCTTACACTGTTGGTGGGAATGCGAGTTGGTACAGCCACTTTGGAAAACAGTGTGGAGGTTCCTCAAAAATTTAAAAATAGAACTACCCTATGACCCAGCAATTGCACTCCTGGGTATTTACCCGAAAGACACAGATGTAGTGAAAAGAAG